TAATAGTTTTTGCTTTGCCTTTAATGTTTCTCTGGTAAGGTGGAAACTCTCATCATTGCCATCTCCCATGATAGAGTGACCATATTTGTGACGCCTGAGTTTTCTCTCGACACTACTTATGAAGCCACGGATAGTCGACTGTTTTTTTCGTACAGTAAGAACAAAGTTAGAAAGAAGAGAGTCAAGCTCAGCAACTGGTATTGTTTGTATCTCTCTAGTTTCATTTTTCTTTCTAAGAAACCTGGTAACCAATGCTAGGTCATAAAATAATTTCTTTGCAGTGTTTTTGTTTTGTTGCTTATCAAGAAAGTTTTGTACACCAGTTTCATCAAGATGTAAAAAACCTTCGTCAAACTGTTTATCTTCAAGTTCCATGTTTTCATGTGTTGTGTTTGGAACAGCTGCAATACATGTATTTGCAATGTCAGTGGTGTGTGTATCACTATCAAGGGAGTATTCAAGACATATTTCAGTACTTCCTTGATCAGCCAGCATATCTATTTGGATGAGGTCATTTTCTAGATCTTCATCAATATTTGAAGTTACATCTTGTTCATCTTCTAACATATTTAATGGAGACAACAGGAGATTGAAATTTGCGACTTCGACATTTTTCAGGAAATGTTAGGAGACGAAGTTTGGATGGGGGGGGGGGGGGGGGGGGGGGGGGGGGGGGGGGGTGTTATGGCATTGGAATATGTTGGCTTTTCAAGAATCAATTGAAAATGTCAAAAATTCTAAAAACAAATATATAATTGGTTCAAGAAAACAAAACTATCTATTATTATTTTCATTATTAACACTGACAGTTTATCGACAGTTTAACGATTGTTGACACAATTGCCATGGAAGTGACGTGACATTGTTGAAATAAAGTAGTTCCGGTAAGTAGGCGTGGCTAATAGTTCAGTCGAGGTCATTGACGTATAAAGCTTACGTTTATACGTATAGCTTTATCTGTAAAGTAAAATAGCTGATTGCAGTATAATATTGTTATCACTGTTGGTATTACTTCTGTACCAAAAATTTCAAGTACAAATCAAGTACTGTAAAAAACAGGTACCTAAAAATTACAAGAATTTTAAAGTAAGGAAATAGTACTTAATATTAAAAGTAAATTCCAGTGCCTATGCAAAAGTAGCAGTGTAAGGTAACGCAATAACTAAATACCGTCCTGTTCGGGTTCATTGCAAATTGATAGAAACCAACATACATATGCTTTTATAAAACCAGTTCCGTTTCATGATAAAATTATATTTGTTCAGTTTGAAACATTTTGAAGACTGTATTGCTTGTATTTACCACAAGAGATTGCACTTCTGAAGACTGTTCCTTGAGTTTTTTTTCTGAAACATAGAGGTTTTAATCCCTTATGCCACTCTTTGTAGTAGTAGACCACGGTTCACGATTGCCCTATACAAAATAGATTTTGTAATAGACCTTTTCAACAATTGTCTACACCTACAGTTGATAACGACTTCGACAGGTGAGATATGAGGGGTCGTCTCAAAAATTAAATTGAAAAAAAAATTATTGATCGCATATGATTATATTGATTGCCAATGAGACAACTATCCAACATGACGTGCACGTGTATTTACGCAATTATTGTGTACCGTACCTTGTTTTGTTTTTTCAGTATTTGCTAATTAAAATCAAAGTTATTTTTTGATGAAAAGAAGGGCTTCGAAATTAATTTTTTAGACGTCGAGATGGAAATTGAAAAAAAAACCCAACCTATATTTTTGTATTAGATGTTTAATTAAACAGTGTTTTATGTCTGTTGACTAGGGCGGCACATGTTTCTACAATGTCTTTTAATTTTGGCTTCGGGTGCCTCAATGTACTCAATACTTTATTTCTTTTCAATTCGCCAATTTGATGTTCAACTTGAATTCGATATTCAGCGACAATGCAATTCAATTTTCTACTCTTTATCATTAAATTTTCGGCCTACGGTGTCATCGTTTGATCTGCTACCCAGCAACCAAATGCTGAACCTGAAGATCTGCATTTTGGTTAAAGACCTACATCTTACCCCCTCCCCCCCAAAAAAAGAAGAAAAAATTAGCGATCTTTGATCGACTAACAAGGAATCAAATATGAGGGCGAACCATAATGTCAAAATATCAAATTGTAAATTTAAAATTCTATTGTGACAAAGACGTACCAATGACCAACACGACAACAGGCGCATAAAACATGCGGCGGTGTTTTACAAGTATAATTGGATCCAAAACTCCCCTTTGTATAGTCAGAGATGAAATTTAAAAACAATTACGCATGGAAAAAATAGAAAAGAGTAGAAAACCAAATTATAGAAAAGGAAAAGGGTAAGCAGTTACTACTTTTTGCAAGACACACGAAGGTCATTTTCGGGAACGGGGAAAGGAATCTATGACAAAGGGACAAGGTATGTTGTCTTTCGGGACAAGAACAACCTATAACGGTCAATCAGTTCGTGATGACAACCATAGAACTTATTAAAGGATTCCCTAAATTGTTGGTAAAAAAGCCCTATTTGAGTCAGAAGTGTGTCACTGCAATGACAACAAGCTATGTTGAGATATAAGGTACTGATGGAATATTGTTACATATTTTCAAATATTTTGGCTGCGAGCATCACTGATCAGACCATTGATTGTCAAAACTCGCATCTGGCGCAGAAAAAATTGATACCGTTAATGTTTCCAATTCATTAGGGGAACACCTCAATGTTAACATGGTACATGTATCTTCCTTGTAACTAAATATTTCTATGTGGCCTTTTCCTTTGACCATTGAACATGTTTTACCCGTCCCAAAATTGAATGTGTATACCACATGACGTGACGATCGGTTGCGAAATACACATTCTACAGGACGGACGGACAGTCCTGTTACTATGTTCCTTCAGCAAATTTCATAAATAGCATTACAAAAATGAATTAATCGCTATTGGCATGTGGTACAATCTTCGTTGACAGACTCGCTTATCTAAATACTCATAATCATACATTTTAGTAAGAAATAAAGCTGATCACGATGTGAAATTTATAAATTCAACGTGGTGAAATGTCGTATAAATACATGTAATAAGAATATTATATGAAAGAGAGAGATATTCATATTTGTTTGAAATATGTTCTTTAATCAAAATAGTGTATAACAGTAAACGTAATACTATTCATGAATGATTTCTATTTTGGAGACGACCCCTTCATTTTACCTGTAAACTGTAGGTGTCATTAGTCGGTGTCGAGAGTTGTTGAAAAGGTCTAGTACTACAATAAGTAAGTCTTGCCGGGCTATTAGAATGTTGTCGGACTAAATGAGTATCGGGATATTGGGGCGTCAAAAGTTTTGGTGAGTTGTTACTTTGGTCTGGTTTGGTTTCTTACTCAATGCTTATATTGGTAAGAATTTCAAAAAATATTATCTAATGCTTTGCTGCACCCATAGAGAAGATCCCTGATACATTTTGAAAACCCAAAACTTTCGTTGTTAAATGAATTGTAATGCCAACTGGAAAAATGAACACCAGCGAAATTGAAGGTTTCCATTGAATCAATAAAGGAATTCATATTGAACTGATGGAGTGAATGAATGCAAATAATGCAGGTATTTCAATTATTGCAGGCTAGATTTAATCAACGACAGACTGAAAGGGCAACAAAACACATCTGATTGGTCGATCCTCTTCAAAGAAGAACAATTGTGAAGAAGATAGAATAGAAAAATAATTAAAGCAACCAGCCAATTTGTTATGTAAATGTACATTTAATCTTTCTTATCATACAAAAACGAGTAGACCCTTTTTATTAACACTTGCAAATCACTCATATGGTATCAGGTAAAATTAATGGAGGGATTGAAAAACGTCGGCTGAGTTGATTCCAATACTGGGACCTTCTGTTTTGATATTACATTTTGTACATGTAACTGTCATTAGAAGGTAAATTTTACCTGCAACTATATTTGTGTGGACCTTAATTTGTTTAATTGTTTTATCTTGAAAAATACTATGAACTGCAAAAAATAAATGACAACACAAGACTTATTAATTTGTAATCAAGCCCCAAATGATCTGTAATAGAAGGTATTGCCCTATGATGATAATGTTTCCTTTTACTTTTTAAGCTTGTGTTCTATTGTTTGCTGACATTTTTGTTTCATCATAGACCATGTTAGAAATAAATACACATATCTTAAACTGTCTCATACATTAAATCGATGACTTAAACTACTAATACTATCATGGTGATCTCATACTGATTGAATGTTGAACGAATCTATCCCATCAAACTAGAGATAAAGGATACTACAGTTACAGTTAAGTCTGCCTCATATCTTGACTTACATCTAGAAATTGACAATGAGGGTCGGTTGAAAACAAAACTTTACGACAAACGAGATGATTTCAGCTTCCCAATTGTGAACTTTCCATTTCTATGTAGCAACATTCCAGCAGCGCCTGCATACGGAGTATATATCTCCCAATTGATACGATATTCCCGGGCTTGTGTTTCCTATCATGATTTCCTTGATAGAGGATTGCTATTCACAAGGAAGCTATTAAGCCAAGAGTTCCAAATGGTGAAGTTGAAATCATCCCTTCGTAAATTTTAGGAACGCCATCACGAGTTGGTTGACCGTTATGGAATAACCGTTTCACAGATGATATCGGATATGTTCCTTATGTCGTAACTACAATACCCTTCCCTTTTCACGAATGTGACTTACCGAATTAGACTATTTACCGGATTTGTAATAACATAAGCAACACGACGGGTGCCACATGTGGAGCAGGATCTGCTTACCCTTCCGGAGCACCTGAGATCACCCCCAGGTTTTGGTGGGGTTCGTGTTGCTTAGTCTTTAGTTTTCTATGTTGTGTCGTCTGTGCTGTTGTTTGTCTGTTTGTCTTATTGTTTTTGGCCATGGCGTTGTCAGTTTGTTTTCGATCTATGAGTTAGACTGTCCCTCTGGTATCTTTCGTCCCTCTTTTGCAAACAAACATAACGAACAGCAAGTATTTATTTCAATTTAGAAAGGAATGAAAAAGTAAAAATCATACAAATGTAATAAAACGAATAACTCTAAATTCATTTTTAAAAATTTAAGGGAAAATCGATCTTTTGAGTGGCCCATAACATCCCTATAATATGTCAGTCGATTTTAAAATGTCATTCTCGATTAATCATCCAGAATCTAAAAAGATTTAGAATTTTGTCAAAAATCAAAAACCATAGTTCGAAAAATGGTAGATATTAAAAAGATGAAAATGGTACTTAATCTTTGTTAAGTGCTCGATCAAATTCCGTTTGAACTTCAATTAATTCTAAAAAGGGTTCTCCATATATCACCGTGAGACCTTTAAAGATTGAAACGCTTTTTGAACTTCTTTTCTTGCATTTATTAAGTGGCACTTAAGTTGTTAAATAATAATGAAATTAAATGTCAGTTTATATCGCGTTTTGTTTACATTTATTGCTTTGATAAATATTTTTCAAACAAGTCTCGTAATGGTTGAATAGATTATAATGTACAAATCATGCATACACATGTATTACACTGGACAATGGAAATAGCATTCTTATATGAAGTAAAAAAATACTTAAATACTATTATTTTATGATTTAAATGAGCACAATGTACATGATGTATATAAAATCAAGAATCACACTAGATACAAATGTGTATGCATATAAAGAAAGTATAGCACTGATGTACAATTGTTTCTATTTAGATTTCAGTCGTAGTGATTATCTAATATTTGAGTTCTTCTCTATAAATAATATCAAAGTACAATAATATATCCATTTGATACGAATTACATTAGTCTGAGTAAATACGAAAACAATATAGAAATTGATTGAATTATGCAAAAGGTTCTGTTGTTGTTTGCTTACGAGATAGGTAATTTAACAATTCCATAATATTGTCCTCGTTATCATCGAATTTGAATGATGATTTTGACTTTCTAATTAGATTTTCGACATTAGCCATTTTTTTATTCACTGATGCAAGCTGATGGAAAACCTCACTATCTTTATCCTTTCCTGCATCTGCCCCCTTTTGCTTCTGACCTTCTACAATATCGTCGATACATTCTTTCCATTTGTCTTCAAAGTCTTTTCGATCGACAGCAGATATTATTTTTTCACCAAATTTCTCTAGAAAATAAATATTATTTTTAATGATTTCATAACGATAACGACAGAACATTACAATTTGCTCTTATTTGTTGTTGGTACAGAAGTGAAGAAAATCTATTTCTTTAGATTGTGCTTGCCACACGGAAACTAATATCTAGAGTTTTGTCCATATGTAGCATATATGTATGTGCTTAGCATTATGATCACTATTTGAATTCAAATATTTTACTTGTATTACACCGTAGCAAAATGTCCCCTCGTTATAAAGTCAAGAATTGAAAAATCCTCCTTTTGTAATTTCATTGAAAGTGTTGACCGAATACATTTTTTATGAAGAGTGGAAACACTTCATACTAAATAAGTGCGCAAGATTAAGGCTTTTACAACCCTATAAAAGAAAGCTGACAATCCTTGAAAAAAGGATTGTGTCAAACGCTCCTGCCATTTGCGGGGTTCGAATTCACATGGCAAGTGTTACTGATACCACTGTGCCACTAAGGCCCCTTTAACTGGGAAACGATGTCTAAATTTGGAATTCCTCGCTATCGTTGTCTGCAAAACAAAATTACGGATTCTTGTGAAAAATACATCTAAAGTAATTATTGTTGAATACAGTCATTAGATATGTACACATCAATTGAAACCATAGATTTAGGTGAGTGTAACACAATAGCATGGGCTAAACGAGAAAGGGTTGAACTAGACACTCTGTAAGAATGGGTTAAATCAATCAGGTCATTGATAGAACTTCGAATCCACAATTTGAAAAAAAAAACGTGTAAATGTTCGACTTATGTCCGTATTCAGGGACTAAGAAACTGTGAAATGCCTTTCCTTTCTTCATGATAAATATGTTATGGTGTTGTTGCTGTGGACAAAGTTTCAAACAATAATGTGTTTGTACATCCTATTACTACGAGTGTCTCATCTAAGAATAGGAATAAACGAACGTTAAGTAATCAAAGGTACAAGCACGTACCTTTTATTAAGGATGACATCTTGACAAACATAAGTCCCTCCTGGCCTCATTGATTATTTCAATGATCAACAAATCTGAGGATTTACCTTTTTTGTATTAGATACCAAAATTTCACAAAATTCCGTACAAAACAACGATACATTGCTGACTAATCTGAATTTTCTACCAAGTAATTGTCCGTCAGATTAACAAAAAAGTTGTCCCAAGTGAAAAAAAAAATAACAGAAATACTGTGATACTGTGTACTCGCGTAGTGACAATAATCATACTGTTGATAAACTATTATTCGTTGGACCAATTTACGTGGATTTCGACGGGAAAGATAATCAACGAAGTTAAATGTACTCATTGCTACAGACTTTTATACAGACTTTGGCAAATCCACAATATCAAATACCCACGTCAATACAAGTTTTCCTCGATTCAGGAAAATTGGTATCCATGAAAATAAATGAATCGACAGTATATTGGTTTGTAAAGACTAATAGGAATTTCTGTTAAATTCTAAATCTAGGTCATTAAAAACCCTCGATTGTTTTACACTCAACAACAACATACCATATGAAAAATTGAAAACACGCATAAAAGTGACAATCCACAATACGTTTCTCCATAAAAAAAGAAACCATACGCTACAAATGTATTGTTTTGGGATATAATTCGACATAATTTGTTAAAAATGAGCCCGAATATAAAACATACTGCACTGACGAACAAGTGATCAGTATGCATTCACAGCATATTTTTAAATTAGGTAGGTAAAATTTTCCAGGTTGTCGCCATTCCTATTTGAACCAAATATGCGCCTCTCCTGACCGACCTTTTCTTATATTCATAATAGTTGGAGTTAATTTAGACTCTTGTTACAAAAAGAGAAAATCGAAATAGCTAGATCATTTTATTTCACATATTACAGGTATATTGATGATCTTCGATGTATAACATTGTGAAAAAAAATCCTGCAAAAAATTAGAGCTTTGAGTCATGCAGTCTCAGTAGAGTTGAGTTTACAATATTTCATTGTAGTACGATAGTAAAAAAATGGAAATAGTATTACAATCACAAATTGGCATTGAAATACGGTAGAATTAAAATGCTCCACCAGCCGCAGCTTGATACGACCGCAGAGGTCGAACCCTGAACAGTTGAGGCACAAGTATGGACACTACATTCAAACTTGAACAGCTTTTAATTTGGATTGTGATTAAATATTTGACACAGTATAGGTTTCTGACACATAATGAACACGATGAATGTAATCAAAGAACTAAACAATCTTTAATTGGATTTGTTCTTATTATGGACCAATATCCAAAATCAAATACACGGTTAGATTTAGCATATCCAAGTACAACAAGAATTTTGTTTATTTATCTACTAATGGACAATAATAGATACGTTTTTAAAGGGGTTTACTTCATAAACAAAATATATGAAATTGATTTATACAGAATTACAAACAACGCTACCACAAAGTTCTTAAAAAAATTTTCCAAAAAATAAAAAAAGTTAAAAAAAATTACAAAATAATATTCCTCATTAATACAAAGTCTTTAAAGAATCTATAAAACTTACTTCTAATTATTTTTCAAAATATCTAATATTGAACAGTAAATTTCAAGCTATAACAATTCAAAACTTCTTCTCTAAAGTTATATTTGATGTTGTATCTATTTTAAACTATGACTCAACGTCTATTAATTATGCAATACGTCTCTGAAATTGGAGTCTGATTAATTATTTGACATAGCAAAGTTTCTGACATAGAATGAATCTGATCTAAGTACTTAAATGATTTGAAATTATACATTTACCTATTATGGTCCAATATCTAAAGTCTAAATATATGGTTAGAATCAGCATATCAAAGAACTCCAAGAATTCAGTTTTCGATGAAGTTTAATGTTGGACCTTTTGGACCTTAATGTGGACCAATTTGATAACAGGGCCCAAAATCCAAAATCTAAATACTCGGTTAGATTCGGCATATCAAAGACTCCCATATACTATTTTTTGTTGTTGAAACAAACAAAGAATTTTAGACCCCGATTTATACCAACTTGAAAACCGGGCCCAAAAATCAGAAATCTAAATGCACGTTAAGATTCAGAATATCAAAGAACCCTTGAATTCATTTTTTGTTAAAATCAAACTTAGTTTAATTTTGAACCCTTTGGACCAAAATGTGGACCCATTTGAAAACCGGTCCCAAAATCAAAATTTTAAATAGACGTTAAGATTCAGCATATCAAAGATCCCCAAGAATTCATTTTTTAAAAATCAAACAAAGTTTAATTTTGGATCCTTTAGACCTTAATATGAACCAATTTGAAAACGAGCCCCACATTTACATATCTAAATACATGGTTAGATTCGGCATATCAAAGAACCCCATAATTTGATGTTTGAAGAAATCAAACAAAGTTTAATTCTGGACCCTTTGGATCTCAGGTTGGATCAATTCAAAAAGAGCCAAAATTACAAATTCCAAATATACTGTTAGATTCAGCGTATTAAAAAACCCCAAGAATTCATGATTTTGAATTAAACTCCATTGAAATTGGTCAAGAAATAAGTAATTTATACAAGGCATCAGAAAAGTTTTGTTTTGGACCGTTTTCTTACACTAATCAATCCCAACTTTCCTTTTTTCAGTATGGAACCTTATGGTACAATTTCATAGAGATCCATAGACTTATACTCCAGTAATTGACCGGAAACCTAAAAATCCTAATTTTTTTGCCCTTTTTTTGCCACTAATTCATAAATGGTTTAGGCCATAACCCCCGAAATCAATCCCTATCTACCTTTTGTTGTATGGAACCTTGTGGTACAGTTTCATAGAGATCCGTGCACTCATTCTAAAGTTATTGTCTGGAATCCAAATGGGTTGACGACGACGACGACTCTGACAACGCCATAACATTATACGACCGCAAACATTTTGGTAGAAAAAAAACTAACAAAAAAACCGAACTCCATGGTAAATTGAAATAGGGGAGGTCCATAAAAACTGACGGAATCAAACGTTTTTAAGCAACTCATTTTAATATTAAAGAAGAAATTTTGAAGTAAATTAAGAGCATAGAACTATTTCATATATCATATTAACTTAACACTATCAATGATTCAGAATAAATCAAAGCTATCTACCGATTAACCATCCCTTTGTCTAGCATTCTGCAACATTTGTCTTTTTGTTTTACTCTTAAGACATTTTGTTTTGAAATTTGAATTCTACTAAACAGAAAAAATAAATCATGATTTATCTTTTTTGAAGCATTTATAACTCCACTCACCTATATCAACCATCCCAGTTCGATTTGCTTTAAAAATTGCTAAGATTTGAATGAAACAATGATTAAGATTCCTTAGCATGGTTTCTTCATCTGGATTAACCTGAAACGTTTTTCGTAGCCTCCGCATATCTTTTTCTTGAAGTTCAGCACTCATTTTCGTGAAAATAGGTTCGATTTGATCTCTGTCTATGCTCTGTCCTAAGTAGAATACAATACAATTCTTTTATGAAATTGCCCACTGCAAGTTTATTAAATATTAGTATTACATTCAATAAATATCCTATTGTATTATTAATTCTATCTATATGAACACATTGTCAATGAGAATACTGATACATTATTGTTTACTACTGAATAAACCCGAGGTTGAAGATCCTCAAATGATAAAATATTTTGAGCACAAAATGTAAAAACAAATATATCTTGGCATAAATCCAGAAAAGAAAATGCCAACGGAATGAAATTACTCAAAGAATGATTGTTAAGATTTAAGCACTAGCTGTGAATCTTTTAAAGTTCTTCAGAGAAGGTTTTGACACATGTACACTATGACAGTGTTGTCAATACAAAATTTAGAGTACTGACAAACCTGTGCACCTTGGAATGATTCAAGACTTGGCATGGCCGATGTTTATAAAGATTATGGGCATTTTGTGTTTCAGAAAATAAAAAAAAAAATTTGAGATTCATTTCTTTTTTGTATCTCATGTCTGCAGGTGTTGATAAGATAAAGAAAAACTTCAATTTCATTTGACAATGTTTGATACGGTCTTTTCAATTACACAGTTTCAATTTTCTATTCTTGTGTGCAGATATGTGTTTCCATGTCAAAGAATGTAATCAACTACAAATTACAGTTCAAAACATTTTTCCAGATTAAAATCGCATTTTCGGTAGGTATAAAAAAAATACAGGAAAGTTTTAAAATTCCTTAAACAAAAAACTCATTCAAATGATATTTTTTCTAGATCTAACCATGAATTAAAACTGACAAAAGCACTGCTTTGTCCTTAATCAGATAAAGGATTAAAGATTTAAAAAAGGCCGTATTTGTCGAAAAGTTCAGATGAAACTTGTGATTAAAATATTGTTTGGCATTAAAACATTGTACCCTGAATGTTCTATTCACTATTTCTTCATGTTCAATTCTCCACCAACTTTCTATGATTTGATCTAGCCGAAATAGTGTCGAGTCAATTCGCTAACTCTTGAGAAACCTTTCGAAGAATATGCACGATCTTTGGCTACCAATATCAGTTTTCGATCGTTGATTCTTAACAAAAAAATGCAAAAGCCTTTATTAAATGATTGATTAATTCATTTTCGTAAAAAAAAATTGTGATGCTGTAAACCCTTTATCAAAATTCGTAATATACAATTTACGTGCAACATTGATGCTTAAGGATGTACTTAGGTGATTAAAAAAATCTAGAATATAAAATTGATACTATAAGTCAGAAGAGCATTATTTAAGGAACAAAATTAGCTAAAAATATTGATAGGTTATGGAACCCCTTTTCGAGATAATTAATTTTTAAAAAATGGCAGGAAAAGGCTGACTCAAGACTTTTACATTATATTTGCATTGGTATAATTTGGGTCTCTAATCGAAAGAAACGAAATCAAGAATCTGCTTAAATTTTGGTAAATGACTTTTTATGAGCTATTGAAGTCTTATATGAAAAGACAAGAGTGCATACGCTGAAATGTCTCGCCTTCTTTACTAATCATTGATATTATGTTGATAGTCCTAAATATAAAGCTTTACTACAACTATCACATAAACTTAAAATGATCCAAGAAAATGAGGTCAAGGTCATATAAACCAAACAAGAAATACATGTACACATTACAATCATTCAATACACTAAATATAGTTGACCTATTGCTTATAATTTCTAAGATACAGACTTAATCAAAAAAACTAAACATTGACCAATGAACCATGAAAATGAGGTCAAGGTCAGATGAACCATGCCTGACAGACATGTACAGCTTGCAATCCTTTCATACAACAAATATAGTTGACCTATTGCATATAATATTCGAAAAAAAAGACCAAAACTCAAAAGCTTAACTTTGACCACTGAACCCTGAAAATGAGGTCAAGGTCAGAAGACACCTGCCAGCTAGACATGTACACCTTACAATCATTCCATACACCAAATATAGTAGACCTATTGCATACAGTATAAGAAAAACAGACCAAAACACAAAAACTTAACTATAACCACTGAACCATGAAAATGTGGTCAAGGTCAGATGACACCTGCCAGTTGGACATGTACACTTACAGTCCTTCCATACACTGAATATGCTAGACCTGTTGCTTCTAGTATCTGAGATATGGACTTGACCACCAAAACTTAACCTTGTTAACTGATCCATGAAACGAGGTCGAGGTCAAGTGAAAACTGTCTGATGGGCATCAGGACCTTGCAAGGTACGCACATACCAAATATAGTTATCATATTACTTATAATAAGAGAGAAATTAACATTACAAAAAAACTTTTTTTTCAAGTAGTCACTGAACCATGAAAATGAGGTCAAGGACAATGGACATGTGACAGATGGAAACTTCGTAACATAAGGCATCTATATACAAAGTATGAAGCATCCAGGTCTGCCACCTTCTAAAATATAAAGCTTTTAAGAAGTTAGCTAACGCCGAATCATCAGGATATTTCAAAGGACAGCAAACTTTAATTAATCCAATAAAATGACTTAACGCTTTAGCTCGGTTGTCAAACAAACTATCAATAAGCCTCGTTTACCTCTGTCTTTAGTTACAATATATATACGTATCTAAAAATTACTAAAAATGCGTCAGTACTGTATAGATAGTTCATGTCGGTTTGCTACAGTTTTGAAACAGTACTACTTAAACATGTTAAATGTATTTTATTTATAAAAAAACACAAACTTAAATAAACATTATTAAAGACCAAAAATGATTAACGTACAAAATTTATCATCAGGTTGTCAAGGATGAAGAAGAAAGAAAAAAACAGTAATGCAGGACATCAACTCTTCCATAGTAGATTATAATAATGACATCAATCATTCCCACCGTATATTAGTTAAACATACAATCATAAGAAAAACTACCCAGAAAATTTCCGACTATGAAATAGATACTGTCACATTAAATGACTTCTTTGGAAGTACAAAAAAAGTCCGTGATTCCCTTAATTATTTGATTTAATTTCAAGTCTTACCAGTATTAATGAATGTAATGGTATTATGTAACTAATATTGAGATTATAAAAGCAAGGGAACATCACATTTAGTCAAAGGAGAATTAATACAAAGACATTTATTTTAACTTACCTACTCCAACTTCGATTTGTATGTTTTCAGTCAGAAATGGCTGCAGCTGTTGCAGATGAAATATAATTTCATCTTTCTCTGATAGAATTGGATCATTTAAGCCTATTTGCAGTAGAAATTTTAGCTTATTTTCTTTGAATTTTGCCCGTTCTATCATATGTTCCAGCATTTGCATGTGAGCCGTCTGCTGGATCATTAATAATCGATGGCTTTCCATGTTTAATTTTCGTTCAACCAAACTCCTTGCTTCAAGCAGACTTTCAATTAATTCCATGTCATAATTAAGGGATTTAATCTTTTCCATCAACTTAAAATAGACGTTGCTAGAATTAGCTTTACTATCGGACTCCAAAGGACCTTTTCTTTGATCTCGTAAGATGAGGTAAAACATTGCTGCTGTTAGAGTCCAGGATATACTTGAATAAGCAGAACAATGCGGTACATGTTTTGCCATTTCTTTCAACTGGTATTGTTCTAATTTTTTTTGTAGCGTTGCAGTTTGCTGCATATAGTATTTAAGATTCAAGACGATTTGGTTGTCAGAAGTTAGCTCCTCTTTTTCAATTAAGCCTAAAATGTAATTTGTATACAAATCAAAAACCAATTACAAGTGTATAGAGAACATACACGGTGTTCAATCTCAGCTGATAAATGTAATAATCAAAGTTTAAATGACTTTTATACAGTTATGCAAACTATTGTTGTCGGAAGATAACTAATCTTGCACATGTTCTAAAATTGATTAGTTTGTATATATTTTCATTGAAACAATAGCGGTTATCAGCTTATCAGCTACTTTTGGTTTTAAAAATTTTTCTGGTGACAACTGACAGCTAAGTCTTTTAGTTTTAAATGGGAAAATACTTGTGTATTTTGAGTAAGGGCAGAAAGGTAAAATGTTTTAATACTACTTCAAGAGAAAATAGACTTAGATTGTATGTACTGTGACTGATCTTTAGAATGTTTTACATGTTTTAGTATCCCCATCGAATCACGCCGCCAATAGAGTAGGTATTTTCACAATAACTTTAAACCCCGGCTTTGGTTACTGATAAAATGTATGTTAATAATAGAAAAGAGGTACGTCATATTTGATTGAAATTCTATCTTGGTCTTTGTGTATATGTTGAGTTTCCAAGTGAATTGTCAATTTCTTAAGCCTTTAACAAGCATTTTATTCAATATAATTTACACACAAAAACGATGTTGTGTTGGGCTTTATCTGCGGTGTATTCTACAATACACCAATATAGGCTAGTTTATAATGTATCTGAATAAATGACATAATCACAATAATTAAGTTGTGATCACTAAACGATTACATAAGGTCGTTTTAAAAATAAAGAGATGTAGTATATAAAATTGAGAATGGAAATGGGGAATGTGTCAAAGAGACAACAACCCGACCATAGAACAGACAACAACAGAAGGTCACCAATAGGTCTTCAATGCAGCGAGAAATTACCGCACCTGGAGGCGTCCTTCAGCTGGCCCCTAAACAAATATATATACTAGTTCAGTGATAATGAACGCCATACTAAAATCCAAATTGTACACAAGAAACTAAAATTTAAAATAATACAAGACTAACAAAAACTAGAGGCTCCTGACTTGGGACAGGCGCAAAAATGCGGCGGGGTTAAACATGTTTATGAGATCTCAACCCTCCCCCTATACCTCTAGCCAATGTAGAAAAGTAAACGCATAACAATACGCACATTAAAATTCAGTTCAAGAGAAGTCCGAGTCTGATGTCAGAAGATGTAACCAAAGAAAATAAACAAAATGACAATAATACATAAATAACAACAGACTACTAGCAGTTAACTGACATGCTTTGCCAATGAGAAAACTAGCCACCAAAGTTCAAATGAAGTGGATGTAACCAATTATTGCCAATCGTACGGCCTTTAATAATTAGAAAATCCCAAACCGTATAAAAGGCACTGACATGAAAAATATGAAACATTTCAATTTGGAAAAAAAAATAACGGTCTAATTTATAACAAAATGTTTACGAAAAACAAAACAAAAATATAACAGAGACAGGCACATAAGAATGGTGGCGGTGTTGAACATGTTTGCTGACCCCATACCTTCGCTCTAGACTTGGCGGTTGTGTAACAGTACAACATAGGATCAAACTATAAAAAAAAATTTAAAAGGGCTTAACTCATCAGATCGATACAAAGCAGAAAAAACATCTAACAAAAAGACAGACCGGACTTGGCAGGAAGTTTAGATAGATTGTACCTTGTTTATGTCTACAAATTATAATTAGTCTATGACTACTGAAAATTAAAATACATAATGTGATAAACAAGGTGCCTACGCAAAATCGTTTCGTCTGCATAACAGATCACAATAACTGGTTGAAATTAGCTGATTGAAAAACAATACAGTTTTTTTTTTGCACAAAGCGAAGGATAGAAAGACATATATTAGGCAAAAACTTTAGAACATAATGCAGAAATCATGTAGGAATATGAATTTAGCCCTCATGAAATCAAAATTAAAGGTCATATAGCTTAAAATTGCACAATAAAGACACATGGAAGATGTGGATTTAATAGAAGATACCTCATACGATATTTATAAAAGTTCAATAATTAATCTATGTTATAGGATAATTATGTATTGTTTCCTGTCCCGATTGACCATTCGTTTTTTCAAATATAATGCTGACCACTGTTCAAGATTTGAATTTTTCAAAACATTAAACTATTCTGCAACTACATGTACAATCTGTACAGAAAGTGTTGGTACATTCGTTTGGCGGATGTGATAATCCTATTCTGTGTAGCTTATACATCAAATCGAAATAAATGACGGGTTCATGTTCTTCGTCTTGTCGCCCATAAATGATCAGTAATTAAACACCTACTGTAAATATAGTGAAAGTAAGACCAAAGTTAGACAATAATATTACAGTTACAGGAAAATGTGTATACATCTACTTTCTTGTATTTGTAGGTTTTTGAATGAGCTGTATTTCCCCAACTCTGATATCAATTATTAATAAAATGTTCTGTTTTATGGAAGGGGAGACGTTGGGGACGGGTATTTAATAGCAACTTATAAAGGCCAACAATTTAATGTGACTACTGAAATAAATTATTGGCATCTAGATAACAAATTTGCGAGCTGTAAAATATTCTTTTTCAAGTTTTTTACATGCATTGAAAAAAAGAAAAGAATGTCAACATTGAAAAGTAAAACAAGGGGGCCATCAGGAATAACCATTTTATTTCCTGTTCCGAACAACAACAAGTAATTCTTATACAGGTCAAACGATGATTTACATATAGTTTTTAATCTATAACATCAATGCCAAAATACGTACGAAATGCTGATACATTATAACAATAGATACACGTTTAAGCATGTTATTAATAGTATTATAAATCTATGCAATAAAATAAAAGAAAAAATTGAATTGTCAATTTATAACAAAATTCAAAATGTGTGAGAACAACTTGAGAAACACATAACATCAACTTGGAAATTTCAGTTTATTAATCAATTGCAAATCCTGAATGCATGGTAAGTGCAGGATGAGGTGAAATAGAACAAGGTTAAGTGGCAGTAAACAGCATGATCGATAAATGGTTCTAAGGGATCACAAAATTTTTCAATTGTGTCGTGTGCCGGATTTTACGAAATGTAATGAAAATATGCCAGCCAAATTTGCCTCAATTTAAAGTACCTACCTTCTTTTGTGCAAAACTTCTTGTCGTCCACCATGAGAAAGTCTATTCCAAGAGACAGGAATGACTGTTTTTCAGAAGAATCTAAATTCAACAGGTACTCTAAACATACTTCAGGAACCATTATTGTAATTAAAAAGCTATTTTTGACCTCACAACCTCTGATAAATACTAAATGTACTGCCACACACATGTATTTAGCAGCCATGGTCCTAATGTCTTCCAACTCATTTCTACTTAGATTTTCTTTACAAGCAACATGAAATTTGACATCTCGGTAACCGTTTGCTGAAACAAATACATAATCTCTATCATTTATTAGTTAATCCTCCTGCGGAAACGACGTAAAAGCACAAAAATAGTGTAAAAGTATAGATATTAGTAACCACGAGTATCAAATAAAGAACAATATATCATATAATAATCAAATGTATGTGACTTTATGGCAAGCAGAATTGTCATCCTTTATGGTAAATCTTTAAATAAAGATCAAAATATTCTGTATCGCTCAACTGGTTTAAATGTATATATGTATATATATATGCAAGTCTAAATTGAAAACAACGTTCAAACCTATGATTGCGTTGGATAAAAATGGCATACAAAACAAATTTCTTGGTAGAAGGGTCTAAATACAGCACAAACAACATTTTCCAAAAAGACCAAAAAAGTGAAAAAGTATATTTTAACAAAACGCATTTGACTATCAGGTCGAACAACTGATGTTCTTAAACCCTGCTGACTGACATTGGCGATTGCCAAATAAACGGATCGCCGATGTAATAAATGGATCTCAATTATAAATTTGATACTAAACAGAAAACAATAAACTTGCGGAGAAGATGATGTACCGCAAACAAAAGTTGCAAAGGTTTTTGTACACCATATCCGGATTTCGACAATTAATGTCTCTTCAGTGATGTTAGGAATCGAAACGGTATTTGGAAGGCCATATGATCACATCCTTTGAAACTTCATTTAAAGTTGATAAGACGTTTCCGATACCCTGAACCATTTGAGTTGCCTTTCCGTATCTATTTAAAACATTTAAAAACAAGCATTCTGAGAGTATTGCATGGCAATACATAGTCCCCTACTGGGTAAAAATGCATTATACTGGAACAAAATGCTAACTTGTTCTATAACTTGTCATGGTGTAAACAAAAAGAAAATATCAATTCAATATCTTCAAGCATGACTAAACACAGTGTGGAAAACTGATTATATGAGTGAATTTTTCAAGTCCAAGGACCATAACTCTGCATAAAATTATCAGACCGAAACAAAAATTTGAACTTGATCTGTAACTTGTCATGATAAAACTATATAACAATTATCAATCAATATCTTTAAGCATGATGACAAAAAGTGTAGAAAACACTCTAACATTAGATATGATTAATAGTTCTCTTAAATTAGATATGATGTAATACAATGTATATCTATTTTTAAATTATAATCAAATACAATTAATAGTTCCAAATATTTTGTCTTTCATTTGTCACAAACTAATATAGATTTGTAACTTATCTATAAAATGTCAACAACTTTTATCTATACACAATGTAATGTAATGAAATATATACCTTAAAAAAAATAGATTATTATCTAATTAAAGAATTTCACTTCATCATTTTTTTTTTATATATATAGCATTCAGAAAAATTAGTTTATACAAATAACAAACACTTCAAACAATGTACCAAAGAATGACTTTTAAAAAATGTGTTATCTCCCTTTGTACAGAAATATGGTTTAACATACAAAATGTAGTACTCTAACATTAGATATGGACTATGATATCTCTAGACTAAATCATCAAACCGGGACAAAATTCAAACTTGATCTATAACTTGTCATGATAAAACTATATACCAAATATCAAATCAATATCTTGAAGAACGAAGAAAAAAAGTGTTGAAAACTGATTTGCCGGACTGACGGATGGACGGACGAACAGTCAGACAGACGGACAGAGTGCAAACCTAAAGACCCCTTCGACTTATTCGGTAGGGGACTAAAAACCTCCTGAAAAGCAAATTAAGAATCAAAATTGAAAAAAGATTTTGTTTAAAACTCAAAAACTCTTAAATGCATAAACAGAATGAGAGAAAACTATGAAAACTGGCCATCGGAAAACAAATTGCCTCCGTGGCCACCGTTTTCCATTGATCTAAACAAAAAAACGGCTTTTTATTACTCGATGACCTTCCATACATCAATCCAACACCATTTGTTAAAATGGTCAAGAAGCTTCAAAGAAGATAAATCAAGCGTGATTTTTGATTGGTTTCAATGAAAAATATGCGCCATTAATGCTGTCAGGTTCCTCCAGATCATTTTTGAATAAGTATAGTTTGCAAACGATTTTACAATTACCAATCAAGTAAAGCTTCCAAACATTTCTCAGTGTAGTTTAAGAGTAGATTATTTGAAAAAAAAACTGGTCAATCTGAATTTGGTTCGCCTCTGACGTTAATGTTTTATCTCATTGAAATCCAATGAATATCATTTATGGACAATCGTCAATGCATCAATACTACACAGTTTGTAATTTACCATGCATGTAGATTCAGTGAAGACAATAAAAAAAAATGTTCCCACTAGGAACTATATGCAAACAATTCCGTCATTTTGCAACCAATTCACATTAAATCAAATCAGTTTTCTAATGTCTTCTAGTCATCAATCTTTTTAAAAGATTTCTCCTTGAAGACACAAAGGAGACGATTTTTGGAAATTGGCCAATTATGATAGAAAGACTACTGTTGGAAGCCAAGTTTTCACATACAATTGCTACTAAATGAAAATATCTTGTAAAATACCTTCCATATATTTTTATGTTTTAAAATATTTGTCTGGATACTGTATCTTGATCATAAAACAGCCTCTGTCTAAGTTTAATAGAATTCAAGGAAGGTTTGAAAAAGTTAGTGATGTCCGAAAATCTTTAACTTTAGACTCTATCTAAATGTGAACTGCGAAAAAAAACTAAGTACATGTATCAGTTAAATCTGTAAATATGAAAGTAATCTTAGTCTGGAAACTATTTTAATCATAAATAAGCTTCTGTCAAATCTTCATGTCCCTATTGGAATGAGGACATTTATTGGTGTACTTCATGAACTAGTTTTGTGTTTGTGTTGTGTTCTCTTTCTGTATGAAGGCCGTGGACAGTTTCCTAGTTCTTGAATTGTAGATCTACTCATATTTTAGTTACACTCTTAAATTGCATTAAGACTCCCCGAGGGTCAATACTTCTGTGTTGACATAAGTTATCATTGGTATTGTCATGTTTATTATTAAAGTGTTTAGAAAACAATGGATTAAATTTCAACTTTGTACTTTATTTGACCTTTTAACTTTTTTGATTCGAGCGTCACTGAGGAGTCTTATGTGGACGAAACGCGCGTCTGGCATACACAATTCTTAGCCTGATATTTTTGATGAGTTTTTTTACAACCACTTGGTCAATGCCACTACTGATGGAGTTTTCCTCCCCGATGGTATCACCAACCCAGTAGTCATCTCTTTGGTGTTGACATGAATTATCATTGATATTGTCATATTTCTGAAATAACTGTAGACAGAACTTTGAATTGTTGGAATTACAAAGGATTTTCAACTTTGTATTTTATTTGACCTGTAAACTTTTGTTATTCAAGCATCAGTGATGAACCTTTTCTAGATGAAACGCGTGTCTAGTGTACACAATTATTAGCCATGCAGCTTTGATAAGGTTTTTTTCACGGTTTGTGATGGGATTCATGTTGCTCAGTCTTTAGTTTTTAAGTAGTTGTAAGCTGGTGTTACTATTATGTCATTTTCCGATTTGTCCATAATTTGGTGGGTCTCCTTTTGACTTCTTTTATTCTCCCTTTGGTATCTACTGCCTTTAAAGGTTTATTAAGTCCTCACATAACTTCACGTATATATGCTAACTGCCTATTTCCCCACTTCCTGCCCGTTTAATATTGTTATGTTCTCAAGCCGAATTATATGTGTTCATACCTTTTGTCTTGGAAAAATCTGTGGCAATGATCATAATGAGTCCTGATTTTGACTACATTTTGAATTTATTTGGAGATTGTTGAGTTAAATATGAAAGTATTTGTGTGAATTGTTGATCAGCTATAGGTCAATTTGTTAGTATAAATTCGCATAAATTTTCTGCAATGCACATATTTCGAGTGATACAATAAATCACTATTTCTTTGTTTTGGTGATTAGTACGGTTATTGTATCATTAATGATATTATTAAACCATATTCTTTATATTAAATTGATTGGATCAACTACATATATGCCACTGTCGTTATGAACTATACTGCTATATAAAACTGAAAACGAAATATACAAACAAAAGCTTTTGGTAGTATATAGCTGAGTTTACCGAGAGATCTACAGTGTTGCCGTTGATGACTAAACGTCTCAATTCGAATTCTGCTTAAGTAAGGATATAAATTGCAAAAATGAAGTTCTGACAATGTTGAGTTGACTTATATTCCGAAAAAAAGTTAACACATATTCATGTATTTTCCTCACCTGGATTACCACTAGGTTCATAAAAATGCAAAATATTCCTATAGTGTTTTCCGTAGTCCATCAGCTGTTTAAATAGATCGATCCTCCTAGCATGGAATAGCATTGCTTGCAGGAATAAAATATTATCCCGTGACAATTTACCATCTTTTATCAAATGGTCAAAAAGCTTCAGTGGCGTTAATATTTGTTCTAAAACTGATCTTGCAGTTCCACATTCCCCTGTTGACAGTAAATAAATTAAAACATACATTAGTAAATTAAACGGAAGGCTTTTTATTGCCGGAAACAATCTGTCAGTGTGATCTTTTTATGCACCTTTTTATTTATATTATTTACAAAATAATGTTTTCTTAGATTTCAAACATTCAGTTTTTTTAGTGTTCTTAAATGAAATCAAAAAACATAAGCTAGATGGATCTTCTGCGACAAATTAATGTTATAGACAATACATATTTTAGGTGTTTCATGTCGTATAACACACCCCAAGGTGTGAACTATTGCTTTTAAGAGAATATTGGAGAAAAAAAAAGTTTATAAAACTGTCAACTAAATGTAATAACGCAAACTTAGGGGGCAATTTACCGTTTTGGCCATTTGTTTAATTGATGAACATTGTAGGTGTTGATAGTTTCTGTTTATAAAACAAGATGTGATAGATATCAATGGAATATTCAAAACATATAAGAGAAACTGACAATTCAATGGCTAAAAAGGAAAGGACAAACCAGCCCACAAAATATTACATAGCAAACCTTATCAAAACCTTGGGTTGATCACAAGCGCTCATGAAGAGTAATCAAATCCTGCTTCATTAGTGGCACCCGCTATGTTGCTATAGCTAAGTACGAAACTGGACATACGTCTTGATGTTGCATAGAAGAAACGAGGAAGGGTGGTAGTAACGATAATTGGAATATACCGGGAGTCATTTTTGACACAGATATTCCATAACGGTAAACCAAGTCGTTTATAGCATTCGAAGAGATGACTTCAACTTAATCAATAAGAACCCATTTAGACCACAACACGCTTTCGAGGAAATCATGACGAAAACGCTAGTTTTTGAATATAATATATATAATATCAACAGAAAGATATGTCCTCTATATGCAGGGGCTGCTGGAATGATCACCACTGAGAAGATGATATAATCCCCTTGATCATAAAGTTAGTTTTTAACCAACTCTCATTGTCTAGATGTGAGTCAGATATGAGACAGGCTGAACTGTATCCTTTATTTCAATTTCTGTTGGATAGGAGTGTTCAACATAGTTCAACATAGTCATCAAACTTTAAATTATATAGTGAGAAGACATCATCTATATAGTGGCACCCGTTATGTTGATCATGCAAAGTCATCATCGTACGTTAAACGATTATGCTAGCCTCTTTTCGGATTTATGTTAACATGAGCAACACGACAGGTGCCTCAAAAGGAGCAGAATCTGCTTACCCTTCCGGTGCACATGAGATCACCCCCAGTTTTTGGTGGGGTTCCTGTTGCTCCGTATTTAGTGTTCTATGTTGTGTTTTATGTACTGTTGTTTTTCTGTCTTTTTCTTTTTTTGCCATGGCGTTTTCAGTTTATTTTTGATTTATTAGTTTGAATGTCCCTTTGGTATCTTTCGTCCCTCTTTTTGTTCTTTTCACATTTCCAACAAAAACTACTGACATAAGAACAAAAAACAATGTACCTATCTAAGAGTACTTAAAGGTACTGAAAATCACTTTAAAACCATTAGCAACTACTTAATATATTAAGCCCTCCCATACTAAACGAAAGTATCAATCAGTACATATTTAACAGATTAATATGTTTAGTTTAAAGAAGTCATAAACAGTCAGTCATAGAAATGCATAACCTTGTGCAATGCCAAAATATGAGAGCATTAAATCGACAGAATGTAAGACGATATACATTCATCAATGTATACCAATACATATTTAATCATGATTTAATTTGTCAAAAACAAAAGCACTGTTTGTACCGATAAAAACAGTATTAAAAGATTTTACAACTTTGTTAATTGATATTCCATTAGAATAAGTTGATTCAAAGGATCAATAAGATTACAAAGATCGTCATTAATTTTATGGGCTTTATAAACAACATTACTGTAAGAATAGGAACAATCGGCCACTTTTCATTTCAATCTGTATTCATATCTAGAATGGGAAACACCAGTGTTAATAGTAAAGAAGTCATGTTTTTACTATTGCAAGCGATAATAGATTTTGACTGCATGTACTATTTACAGATCTTTGATTTTTTTTAATATCTATATCTAATTCATACATCCCTTAGAGTAAGTAGTTTCGCAGTAACTTTGATGCCCGACTTCGATTGCTGATAAGATTGATGTTAATAGTTTGAAAGATGTTTCATGGATAACTTGGCAGACCGCATCACTGTAATATTGTTTGTAAGGGCGTGTATTTTCCAATCGTTTCGTTGGTTGATATAGTCGAGCGTTTGAATTTGTCATGTTTAATGGACTTTTTAAAGGACAAGGTACGATAAGGAGCGTTTTTGGTCCCCTCTCCAGATAATGTATATTAATATCATTGACGGTCTTAGGATAGAAACTTAAAAAAAACAATGATTTTATTGTGTTCCGGTGAAAGGAAGGTTGCCTAGCAACAGTTTTTATTAAATATCAAAATTATCACATATTAATTGCTTTATCAGTACAAATTTGAACAATTCCAAATACCTCTGTTTGTTTAAGAAGAACTTGAAGTCACAAATGTTTAGTCCCTTTGATTTCGTTTACTATATGCTTAAAAACAACCTAGCAACGGTTCAAAAATGGGTGTTTTCCCCTCTGAAATATGAATTTAGCAGTTGTTTGAAGATTTTTCTTTTCCATATGGTGTTGCATTCAAATATACTAGCTTAGTCATCATTATTCTTTTTAACAAATTCCGTACTGAGCATAACAATATAAATGTTGATTAGTAACTGCAAAAAAAATATTTGAATTAAAGACAACTACAAATCAATTAGTTATTTTATTGTACAAATTAAATTAAATGCAATGCAGATTGTATGTTTATGAACAGCTATTAGTTAAAAATGAAGTCAGTTCAATTCTAGTTCACTTAATGCTGATCAACAACTTAGGTACATAAAAAGTGCATAGCAATCGTTCAATAATGGGTTCATTATATCATCTAAAGTATGAATTTAGTAATTTTGGGAGAATATACTATCTCATATGGTGTTACACTATAATATAAACATCTAGATTATGAATAATCTTTTTTGACGAATTAAAATATCGAGTATAGAAACACACATGTTACCTAGCAACAGCAAACATTTTTTTCCCAAAATTAAAGACAACTACAAAACCTATGCTTCAATTTGAAGGTCTTTTCGTGAAAACAAGAATATAAAGGATTTACTAATTAAGGGTGGGTCTGAACAGTTTTTAAAGATATATAACAGTTAACATGCAAGTTACTGATAAGAGTATATGATTGCATAAGTCAATTCTTTGGGTGGATGCTTATGTTTAAGCAAGGATTTATATAATAAGAAGGCACCCTTTATTTAAGTCATTGTACAATTAAATAAATATAATTAATCAATTAAAACTATACAAAATCTTGTGACACACTGACTGCACATTTAATGTTTTATCAATTTTAAAAGTTGTAATAGAATGCCATTTGGTTTTCTCAACTTTTTATTATCCATTATTACATCACATGTATGTCTCATAAGAATCCATACTTTTAATTGGATGACAACAATCGAAAGGCATTCCAAAATAAGATGTTATTTCCAAAAGAAATGCAACATTTACGACAGCACGTACTTCCCTTGACAACGTCACAAGAATGCATAGGAAAGCAAATAAAATATTTGATAAAATTCATAATTTTATAGTTATAGCATTAAAATTAATAGTGATCTGAATGTTTCTTTTGTAACCTCCGCGCTTCATATAAAATGTGTTTCGGTCATCGCTTTAACACCGCAATAACAAAGAATAATAAATATTTTCAGTTCACCGAGACATTTCTCTGGGATTTAAATACATAGAATAGAAAACAAGCACTACTTCAACGTTGGCTGAAGACGAAGTGAAGAACATTCGTCACATATCGCCATGTAGTTCCGAATTTATGCTGTATTCGTTTGGCATTTATAGGGTGAAATTTCCACGATGAACACCAATTTGATTCATTGAGACATTGTGTATTTAATTCTTAAGAAGACCACTAATTAAATGGTCATAAACATACAGCTAACTTAAAGAATAAAAGAGATGAAATGTATAGTATTATTTTCAAAGGTTGAAATATTAAAAAATTATAATCACATGTGTTTGTCGTAGTTAATTTGCGAATATTAAATATTCATCTTTTAAAACACCATGCACATGTTGGTGCACAGTTTCGCTTGGTTAGTCATTTTTCCACCCAGCGCAAAACTCATGAGACAAACACTGCCTCGGTTGTCTCGTTGTAGCGTGTTCGCCTCGAGTGCCATATATCGTGCGTTCTGACCCCGGCTGCCCCAAACCACAGACTTTAAAATTGGTATTTGCTGATTCACCGCTAATTACGTGGTATAAAGGGTTAAGCGCAAAGACCAGTTGGCTCGGAGTCAGAATATATAGAGTCCAGGTAGGGTGATATGTCTTCCTGCGGACTGTGTAACCTTGTGAGCTAGCATATTAAAAATCATGACACAAACAACCAACTCATGCAGTAACACGATGTCCAGTAGTCAGCACTTCTGTGCTAGCATGAATTAACATTGATATGGTCATATTTAAAAATTAGCTGTTTACATAACTTTGAATTGTTTGAACGTGTAAATATATGATCCAAGAATTATACGAATCTTTTATTAATTTAATTATGTTTATAGTCATTATAAGAGGAGATCTGATCGATTGAATGTTATTTTCTGACCGTTCAGTGACAAATAATTCATGTGCTATTACCCAGCAAACACACAACATTTTAAAAACATTTTTTAAATGTCATATGGACGTCTCTCACAAAATATTTCAATAAGATATCATTTAAACATAAAAAAAATGTTTATTTTATTGTTTTTGAAATGTTTTATTTCTAACATTTAAGTAAAATGTTTTTACAACATTAACAAAATATTATTTGCTAATATCTTTTATTCATGTTCTCAAACATTGTTCTAAAATATCCCGTAGATATTTCATAATATAAAAAAATAATATTTTCTTCAATTGGTATTTTATATTTTAACAACATTTAAAGTAAATATTTTCCAAATATCCAAAAAACATTCTACAAAAAAATGTTTTACAGAAAATATAGTTTTGCTATTTGCATAAAATGTTTTATAACGTAAAATTAAAATGTTTTACATAAAACATCTGAAAATTATCAGCTAAATGTTTTCTATAAAATATTCTGACATACACATTACTTAATAGTCTTACTGATATTTTATTCAACATTTTACGGATATAAAAATAACATTTTATTTAAACTTTATTCAAAACCACACAAACAAGGTATTGTGGAATTAGCTCGTTTTTTTTCAGGATAAGATATAGTACTACATTTCAACAATATCATGACAAGCAAGATACTATGTTGAAGATCCTTGAAGTCAGATTTTATTCCTTCTTATATTAAAATTCAAAAGAGTCAACATAAAATTAAGCAATAATGTATTAATAAACAATCACCTTTCTTTAATGTTTATTCATTTCGTTCGTGTATATTTTAGAAATTAAGAAATGAAAACTGTAACCGTACTAAGTTCAATTTTCGTATCGTTTATATGCCTTACGGAAAACCGACCTTTTCCGGAATCGACTTTTGTTTTATCACCGGAAATGATTTTGAAATTTGAATTTCGAAACGATGACAGGATATCAACAAAGAGAGCCAAGAAAATTGTTTGTTACGCGATATATACTCACTTGGTAAGAATGATTAATCTGTTAAGATGAAACTTGTGCATTCATTGTGTGTGTTCAATCATAATCGGAACCAAATTACATCTGTTTCTGGAGGTGCGGATCAATGTTTTGAAAAAAGGGGGGCCCCTGCCCAAGGCAAGCAAACGTTTGGAGTGATACTTGTAAATAGTCTATACATTTATCTTATAAGTAGCTCCATAAGGGGGGTCGGGGCCCCTAAATCCGCCACTGTTCAAGCATCTACGTACAACAATTATGAATTTGCTCATTAATATAAAAAAAAATATCAGGATATGTGACTTGTGTGTTTGATTGCCAATACACCTAATTGCTATTTGTCCACCATTACTGGCCATGGACATCACAAAAGTTCCCTTAAAAAGTTGCCGTCATATAATAATATTTGACACCACAATTGAAAGTAATACACCTTATTGCTATTTGTCCGCTATTACTGGACATCACACAACTGTCACGAGTTCCCTTAAAATTTTGACGTCATCATAAAAAATATCTGATGCCACAATGGAAAAGTGATAAGGTGTATTATTGTATGACGTATGCTGACGTAAAAAGTTCAAGCGGGACAGATTTCCAAATACTGAAATAGCGATAAGGTGTATGAGACAGCTATCCACCAGAATTTAAATGACTTAGATAAAAGAAATTATAGGTCACTGTACGGCTTTCAAAACTGAGAAAACCAATGCCATATAGTCCACTTTGAAGCCTTGACAAACAAATGTTAAATTTTTCTCAACACAATTGAAACAAAACAACTAACTGCCTACATTAAATACACATTATGAAAAAGAAATTTGACAGACTTAAACCAACAACAACTATTGCAACAAGCATGACTCAATACCTTGTTTCCGAAGCACACAAACAAGTTACAATAACACTAATATAAGCACCATTTGTGTATGTATGTATTTGCAAAACAGTAAATTAAATTTCCCTTAACAGCTTAATGAACATTACAAAGACTATGTAAGACTTCAGTACAAGCAAAATAATTAAAACTGTTGCTTAAAATTATATTTATTGCTTCATACACACAATGTACATACAATGTATCTTTTATTTTTTAACAGGAGCTAAAAGAAAAGCCACAAAGGACAAGTTCAATATGCAGGTTTACAATTTGGAAGTGGCGCAGGTTCTTTGGAATGTCTACAACCTTTCAGGAGAATTTTTTTTTGAAGTAAGATTTTCATACAGAATTACTGTTATTCCATATTTAATTCAAATATTTAGCATAAACAATGCATTACATTCAAGATTAAGGGCATACAATACAGAAAAGATATCTGGATATTTGAATAAATTATTTTTTTTGTGACAAAATAGAAACAAGTTGTTTATTTAAATCAATCTTTTAGTCCAACAGTGTGCTTTCATAAACAACAAATATGCTTTCCTTTGAAGTATTTCAAATACATATATAAACAACTCATTTAATGACATCTGTGTGTTTCTCGGAAGTTAAGTTATATTATTATCATCATTGCGAAAACAATGCGTAACACTTCGATAAGTTATTATGTGCCTATAGTATACTTCTAGGACTGTATCATATGCCCTTAGATACAAATGACAAGTTATAAACTATGTCACTCTACAGAGTTTAAAAAGGACAATAAGATGTTTAATGACATTATGTAGCAGGGCTTTAAAAGGCCCCTACATGATACAATGCATTTAATGAAAACTAAAAAAAAACAAGAAAAACAACAGCCTGATTTATACAAAACAATAAAAGAAAAAAAATATGATAGACAACAATCAACAAGTATACTATAATGAAATAAGACTCTTGACTGGACACATATCTAGTCTAAAGTTTTTTATATGTTTTTTTTTTAATAACTAAATGAAGTTCAGCGTGGCACATTGCTCTCTCTTAACACGGTCAGCCATTTATCGTCCCCTTCCGACAGACTATCATCGTTATTTGTTTCAAAACTTTAAAGGGGAGGTGATGTATATCCTTCAGGCAACGTGAATCGTTCTATAAGAAAGGAATGTGCAAGAAGTTTATATACGAATGTAAGATTAATTTTTTTTTCAGAAGCATGGCACAGCAAGAAAAAGATATAAGACACTACAAGACATTCCAAGTGATTTTGAATAAGACAATTGATTGACTTTTTCAATGTATTCTTAAATAAATCAAATAGTTGATGTAAAATGGTGTTTTGTTCTCATCTCTTCAGCCAATTATCAATGATTATTGACTTAAGATGTAACCCTATTAGAAGTGTAGTGTTTTAGTTTAGAAAGAGAAGTTGTATTGAAAAATCTGAATTTGGGACACAAGTTTTAGTCAATGTAACTTGAACTTAAAAATGTGTATAATGTTTGCTTAATGTCCAATGGCATATATGTCATGCATGTTCAGGTTGACATATGCATGATGTGTATAAGATAGGTAATAAAAGTTGAGAGTGAAAAACTAAACATTATACCATTGTGGTTGGAATGTGGGCTTTCTTGCACTGTCTGTCGTCTGTCCACCTATATTTGTCGGATTTTGTCCAACAAATATTTTCATCACTGTTTTTCCCAAAACTGCTGATAAAGATGAGTTCATATTTAATGAGCTGCTTGATAGTGATGAACTGTGATGTGAGAACATTTTTGTATCTGGCACCTGTTTCCTGTTTGCTTATACATTGTATTTCAAAATGTTGAATGTTCTCAAATTTTTCATTACTTTAATTAGTAATGCTGATGAACAGAATGACTTCATATTTGGTAAGTGGCTTGATCATGATGAGTTGTGTCTGCCATTTTGGATGTGTCAAAATTTGTAGATACTTCTTGTTTTTAGAGACTTTGAATTGAATTTCATATGCTTAGCAAAACAACTGATTTATTCTTGTTTGTATATAGAATTAATCACTGTGTATAAATTAATTTAAGTAATGATTTGTTATTTAAAAAAGCAGGAAACTCAATCAAAAGTACAGAAATTTTTATATTGATATGATCTAGATATCAACCAAAAACATCTTCTTAAAACATTTTGAAAACATTTTTTAGGCACAGTCTCACTTGCAAGAAAACATCCAAAAAACATTTTTATAACATTATTTGAGGTTCATGATGTTTTTCAAACGTTCAGAAAATATTTCTAGAAAATATTTTTTAAAAGATTATCAAAATGTTTTATACGCCATTGTTTTTCACATTATCATGATATTTCTTTACAACATTTTAATTATATTATGCAAATATTTTAGAAAATATATTAGAAAACGTTTTAGCGATATATATTCTACCATACATTTAATGTTTTTCTGACGTTTTTTTGTGATATTTTCATGACATTAGACACAACATTTTAAAAACATTTTAAAGATGTTTTTGTGTTTGCTGGGTATGACGGAGGGTAATGTAGAAAATATGTTTAAACAAGAAATTCGAAGTTGCACGAATGTCGTTGAAAAAGAGGGGGGCGGGGGGCAATAAAGTACAAACAACACTCTGACCAAAAAAATACTCAAGATCCATCATAGTGTTGAATAGTTTTGTTTGATCTTTTTTACTGTTACACTTACATAATTGTATAATTGAAATTGTCACATGGTGTCTTCTTATGTCGTATGAATTACAATGTATGTTATTGTTCACAGTTCTGTAATTAATTTTTGCCATCCATAACGATTGCCTAAAATGTTAACTTGGCATGTCATACTTGATAGAAATGCGGAAGTGAAAGAAAGCATTCTTCACAAAAGCATCAACGGAGGAGGTTACATTTCAACGAAAATTGTACTAACATTTAATGTTGACACCAAGATCGATCGATCTGTTGGGTATAGAATTTATATTCAAAATTTGTTTTTACGTTACAAAAGACGTATTTATGCTTTGACATGCCAATCCACGATTAACGTCTGTGTCACAGTGTTCTAAATATTGAAATTTAGTCAATTGAGAACTGTTTGAGTATGAACCAATTTTTTCTATAACTTTGGTTTCATTTTTAAATATTCCCAAAATTTCTCTGAAGTTTGTCACAGTTCCTTTTTTATTTTGTGTCAGAACTCGACGGTCTGCTAAAATCTCACTTTAAATTCTTGCAATTATAAATACAGGATTATGCTGTGTTCCTTTTTCATAGATGTTAAATTTAAGTCATAAAAAGGTAGCCATTATAGCACGAAGAAAAGTCTGTCGTCGGACCCAGTGAATATGTGCGCACCGGAAATCATCTCCGGTCCGCAGTTCGTTTAAATATTTCTATGATTCAATGAAAACTACGACGATTTTTTTCATCTGTTTTTAATTTTTAACTATGAGCGTACATACGGCTCATTAAGATATTTGAACTGCATCAGCAATTATATTCAGGGAATTTCAGGTATGAATATGATCGTTGGCCGTAGGTACGCTTATAGTTTAAAATGCAGACAAATGTTTGGAAGCTGCCATTTTTCTACGCTTACGCAAATCTTGAGGTCTTTACTGCAACAAAGCATGAATTAAATTAGCGGAATTTGACAAATCTATTAATGTTTACAAAAATATAGGTTTTAAACTTTCAAATAATTATAGTATTATAATTTATGGCACGTCATTTTTAATTTTAACGAAAAAATGGGGGCCGTTCTCTGATACTTATCGTACCTTGTCCTTTACCTTGAATTTCGAGATTTTTGTTCATACATTTTTTGGTATCCAGTATAGTGAAATAAGATGCATTTTTTTTTATATTTATATACATTCCAAATGTGCTGGATGTGTACTGATTTATATTTTAGTTTACGATACATGTTTTTTTATAAGTTGTTATTCGCTTAAATTAGTTTTCAGTATACGTAATTGTGAGTATTCTTAGGTCTGTACTTTGTGTCTTTTACGTTTTTGTTAGTTTTTTTTTGTGCTTTGTATCGATTTGATGATTCAAATCCTTTTCAAATGATTTTTATAGTTTTTTTTAATGTTGTGCTGTTACACCATTGTCCCAGATCAAGGGGAGATTGGGCACCGGCAAACATGTTAAACACGGCCACATTCTGGATGTGCCTGTCCTAAGTCATGATCAGGATCCTGTTATTAAGTGGATAAATTCATACAGTCATTTATTTACATTTCACATACACAAATTTTGAGCTATACAAGTCTACATTTTCTTAACCTTTGTCGACAACGCTTAAAAGTACCAATATGTTTTCTTTTTTATGGGATTTATGTTCAGTCATAATAATTGTGTATGTTTTATACCTAGATGGATTGTTTGAGATTTTACTTTTAGAAGTGCAAACTTGTAAGCATCTATTTAAGGTGCCAATCTTATTTCTTTTCTTGAACATTGTTAATTTTTATGTAGCGACAAAATATTCAAGAAAAAGACAAATTATTGGCACCTTCAATATTTGCTGTCAACAAATTTTGCAATTTTAAACTTAAAATGTTTCCATTTAGTGCTTGCATTTATGTTAAAGATAATACCATGCTTAGGTACTCATACCATGCCGATGCAATAACCGTTTTGGGGGGGGGGGGGGGGATGAGGGGGAACTAAACGTATAGAAAAACATTAACGCAATTGAGTGGAACTGAGTTTAAACTAAGAAAGGTATTTTTTATAGTTTGATAAATAAAAAACATGACTAATCTAACGGCATTTCAATGCACATTGTTGTTAATATCGGCGTTTAGATGACATTGTTTGTTCGTCTGGGCTGATATGCATAAAGCCATTTAAGTGGAGATATCCAATCGTAGTACTTATTTATCGTATGACATGTAGGAAAATCAATCCGTTCGGAACAAATCTTAACTTAAGTAGTTTTATGCATATCAGCCCAGATGCTTACAGAGCACTACCATGCAATGTCTTAAATATTCAAACAATTATGTCGATTAAAAGTTTTTTTTTCAATAAATATGCATTTTGTTACTTTTCAATTTAGTAATTATTTAAGACATATCTGATAGTACATGCACATAATCGCTTGCTCTGTTAATTGAAAATACATACTATAAAAATAAGATGTGCTAGATTGCTAATGAGACAACTTTCCACCATAGACTAAATGACGTAGAAGTAAGCAACTATATGTCACTGTACGGCCTTTCAATAATGAGCAAAATCCATACCAAAGATAAAAAAAATAAAAGATCCCGAAATAACAAATGAAAAACAATTTAAACGAGAAAACGAACGGCCTGAATTATGTACAAAAGAACAAACGAAAATCAAATAGGATATACAGTAACCATAAACTGGCTGCAGACATGGGACAGGCACCTACAGAAGCAGCAATAGATGTGAAAGATAAATGGAGAATGTGTCCATGGGACACAGATGATGCCCCCGCTTGCATATAACGTTATAAAGGGGCATAATTCGAGAACGGTAAAAGTGTCGACACCCATATTCGAACTTGATCTGCATTGTGTGGTAATAAGCATTGTGTATACGTGTCATTACATTTTGTTGAGGCAAACTAAAGTTAGAGAACGGAAACCAATTTTGGGACGTACGGACGGACAGACGGACGTATAATGTACGTACGGACGGACAATGGTACCACTTGTCCCCGGTGACGACGGGGGCATGAAAACGGGCATTAAGTTTTGTGTCTACTCAAATGTTGAGGTTAACGGAGAAGAAACGTTGCGTTATACTGTATTGCCTTAATGTACTTTCGATCTGTCAAAGCCTATGAACCATGGCTTAAGGTCAAATAATTTACATGGAAGCGACAAATGCCAATGCTAATACAAGTGTATACCAAATACCACTGACTTATCAGGAGTGGTCACTTAAGACTGACCTACATTTTGAAAACACTAACTTAAACATAAACTATGCAAAAGTTTCAAAGTCAGTGAACCATAATGAAGGGGGAGGGAAACAAATCTCCATGGAAATTAGATGTGAAAATGCTAATACAACAGCATATCATTAACTTACCATTGTTCAACTCAAACAAACATTTGACCTAATCACAAACTTTAACATATACATGATATAAACAAGGTAAAATGAAAATAACATTATCATTTGTATGCCTTCTTAGCGCTTTTCTGAATTTACCTTTATCAGTAACGCTCAAAGCCAAACAGTTGAAAGCCGAATGAAAGAATACCAAACCACGCAAATGAACAGCTATACGACCAATGTGACCTTGAAATAATAGGCAAATCCGCCTAAAGTCAACTTTGCTTGGTGGAACCTTATCTTTATGTGACATTTACATGTGCATGCACTTAGTCAGGTGGCTCATTGGTAGTCATCTTGTGAAACATCTTAATGTTTTTTGGTAATTTGAAGAATAAGGGTTTTATGACGTAATGCATTTACAACTTTGATAGATTTGGGACAACCTAAAGCCTGACATAGTGCGTAGAGGACTGTTTGTTATTGAAGACTGTACGTTGTCCCATATACGTATTTGGCTTATTGCTGTCTTCATTTGCTGACTCATTGAAGTAATTCATTCATCTAAAATCATTCATAATTATTTGAGATCTGCAAAAATCAACGAATTCGTTAAGAAAGAAAAATTATTCAGGTGTGACTAAAAACATTTAGCATCTGAAAAGGATATTAACTGTAGAGCGAAACATGAACTCATGAACATTGTTAAGATAGGTAAGCAATCCATATCGACAAAACGAAAACAGAAAAAACTTACAATGAAAAAAGGGTAAGCCCTCTACAATAGTAAAAAAGACAAGAAAATAGATCAGACCACAAAAATACCAAACAGAAACTTCGCGGTCTTCACATCTCTTGTTCTTATTCAAAAATGTTTCGAATTACCTCCAAGTAGAAATTTCATATTTTCTATATCCTCTGCAACCAGTTCCCGTGCAATTTTTATTAAAAAAATATTGAGTTGATAATCTAGACCTGGATGCTCCAAACTGTAATAAGGGACTGTTTCTGAAAAAAAATCGTACGCAACAACGTTAGATCAAAAATAAAGAGAAACAATAAAACAAAACTTTGATCTAGAGGTTAAACATAGATTTGAGTATTCCCTTGAAGACACGATTCGTTATCTGCAGCTAAAAATTAAATGTAACCATCAAGGAGAGGAAATGTTTGATCTATCAGTGCATTTGTAGACTTCGATAAAGCCTTATATTATCTTCAAAGAAGTTCATAATACAAATTTGCCTTGAGTCAAATAAATGTTAAATTTCTTAGAATTGTTTATAGTTTATTTGAAGATCTTAAACCACAAATTACACATAATAAACAAGCATCTGAAATGTTTGCAAATGGAAAATCTTACTCCACTATTATTTTCTGTGTACTTTAATGGTCTTTAAGACATTTGTGGAGAATATTAATGGTAAGATGTACATTTAATTACATCTGATGTAGAAAATGAACTGAACATTTCTTTTAAGATATTTATCTAAATGTATGCTGACAATGCAATTTTACCTGTTTAATGAAGTACAGATTTACAATTTCTTTTAAATGGTTTTTCACAGTATTGTGGAAGTGGAAACTTAAAATAAATGCAAAGGTAATGATTAGTTTTAAAGGTAAACCACAAATAATTTTAAAGTTTCCCTTTACAACGAAGGCATACTAGATATTTAAAAAAAAGTATATTGTTTTGAGTTCTGTTCTCAAGAAACGTATCCGATTTGCAATCGGGTCGACGAAATATCTACAAAATTCAAACTATCTAAGCAATGTATAGTGTTCTTAAAATGTAGATCTAATCATTTAACCTAATAAAAAGCCAGCCTTTAAAGATATTGACATATTTGTAGAACATTTATGCTTTATTCAAATTCTGTCCATAATTAATAATATTTTAAAGATAAAAGCCAAAACGCTTAAATGTGTCAAAACGTTTGATTTATTTATTTTAAAAGATCAATTAATGATACTAGTCATATTGTCAACTGTGATACAGTTATTTGCTGTTGAAATTTTCTGAATAGTGTTTTTCTCTATTCTACAACAATTTTCATGTCAGAAGCGGAAAAACTAAAAAAATTATCATGTATGTGCAATACATGTAACTCCTTTAAGAAGTCATTTTATAATTTTACTAAAAAAATTTAAAGAAGGTAGATCTTGACATATTACCATCTTATCCCAACTCGTTTGCTATGACCATGTTTGTAGTGACGTTTTGGATTTTAATGAACATTATCTATGTATTGCTGGTAAATTATTAAATCAAGGATTGTGTTACATCAATTTATTTAAAACCTTTACAAAATTCTTTCATTAATACAAAGATTTGGTTTAGATTATTGGCTGTATCTATTGAAAACTTATTATGGCACATCCTAATTTTTACGGTGTTATTTACAGAGCCTGTAAATTTAAATACGATCCAGGTAAACTTATCGATCCTGCAGATAAACTTATTTTAAAAGGTTGCAAATTAACACTGTAATTAGATCTTTGCATATTAGTTTTTATCTGAATAAATATAGATTTTGTTATCAAGAAATTAAAACCCATCTAAATATTACTGCTGATATGTATGAATATTCACGGTCCTACATTCTGTCGATACCTATATTTTGGCATTGCTTAAGGTCGTGTATTTCTCTGATTGTCTATGACGTCTTGTATTTACACTAAATTAATGAGAAAACCCATCAGATATTGGATGTGAACTGAGAGATATCTTATTCTAAGATTTATGATTTTTTTTTATTTGTGGTTATTGACTTTGAACTACCTTTCAGTAACTGCAGGAACTCTCAGATCTGAATGTACTTTGTGTCTTTTGCGTTTTTGTGCTTTGTATCGATCTAATGAGTTAAGCTCTTTTAAAAATGATTTTATAGTTTTGTTTTTATGGTGTGCTGTTACACCACTGTCCCATGTTAGTGGGACGATAAGGCTCCCGCTAACATGTTTAACGCCTCCACAATCTGTATGTGCCTGTGCCAAGTCAGCAGCCTGTAATTCAGTGGTTGTTGTTTGTTGCTGTATACCATATTTGTTTTTCATTTATTGTTTTGTTCATAGATTAGGTTAATAGATTACTCGCTTGATTTGTTTTACATTTGTCAATCATTTCGGTAAGATAAAAGTTTGTTTCATTGTTAAATGGCTTATGGTGACTTATATTCGCTTACTTCTACCTTATTTTGTCTTTGGTGGAAAGTTGTCTCATTGGCAATCATTCCATTTTTTGTGTTTATATTTCCTTTTAGTCGTGGAGAGTTTTTGTATGCTTTGCCACAATTAAATTCAAGTCTTTAAAAAAGCCGACATCCTAATTCAAGTGAAGTGTGTCTTTAATTGGTTCAGAAGTTTGGAGGAAAATATTTGTTTTTGAAAATGTTTACAGCAGACGACGGTCAACGCCAAGTGATGGTTTTAGCTCAAACTTCCCTTAAGAGCAGGCTGAGTTTAAATGTAGTGAGGAAATTTACCCTGAGAAGTATGTGGTACAATCTCTGTTCGTCCTTGAGATGTTAACATTTTTGATTCTAATATTTGGATTTCTGCTTCAGCTGGTTCTATTACCTCTCTATTTATTCTAACATCAATGTTCGATAATGCGTCTTTCAATTTTTTATATTTTCCTGGTGCTATAATATCATTCCTTTCTAATATGGTCAGTAGAGATGACATTCTATTAGCTTCTATATTTTCCTTTGGAGTTAGTAACAATAGCTTTTTTAATGATAGGAATGCATGTTCATTTATTGTAACATCTATATATTCTGTTAATTTTGTAAGCAGTCTTGTATGGATGTCTTCTTTGGAATTCATTTTTCTAAAATTAAAGAAAGTGTGAAGGTAACAGTTTGAAATAAAACTTTCTTAAAATCTACTTCTAATACTACATATACTGCAACTAAATATTACCAATTTACCAATACCAACTACTGTGCCTAACCTAAGATGACACGCTATATTCGTACATTAGGGTTAATTCAGATTATAAATTATCCCATGAGTATTCAATAAGGGAATTCAGTTATTAAAAAGCAGCTCCACCTTTTACCATAACATCTTCTGTTCGAATGTAACCTCCAAAAGCTAAATTTTGCTCTTTGCTTGTGTGTACGTCTTATCTTATACTATAAAAGCTACATATATAAGGACTGATGCTAAATGTTTTGGTTGTTGAGACGAACAAATGGTACATTTAGCATGTTTAGTTCAAAGCGATCTGATGATATCGCCCCTTAAAAGTTGAAATTTAAGGTAAATTAAATAAAACTTCATCAGCATACAATAACCATTTCATGACACTGGAAGTCGCCATCTTTAAACCAGAAGTAGCTAATTATCTCCCTTATTTGAAAGAAACATATATAGTAACGATATATTTTTGGAATCAGTAGAAAATAAGCTATCTTATGAAACCGAAAATGACATTTTCTTAACCGGAAGTAACAAATTATCTCCCATATTTAAGACAAAAGTATATAAAACCAAATATTTTTAGAATCAGTGCAAAGAAAGCTACCCTATAAGTCTGGAAATGACATTTTCTTAACCGGCAGTAGCAAATTATCTCCCATATTTAAGTCAAAAATATACAAAAACCATATATTTTTTGAATCAGTATGAAGGAACCTATGATTGGATGCCAATGGTAACTTTGAGTAAACCAAAAGTAGCTCATTATCAGTTATTTTGAAATGTAATGTAGAAAGTCCTTCAATTGTTCTCTGAACAATTGGTTTTTAATTTTTTTTTTCTGCCAAATTTGTTTCTTGCGTGTTAGTTTTGTTTCGCAACATGTCGCTTAGATATTTGGTATATGTTATTGAACAGTTTATGCGCTTTTAAATTTGACCCTGCTAAACCGAACTAATTTCTTTGTAATAGTTATCTCCCCGAACACTGTTTTTCTTCTGTGTGCATCTCCTCCATATCCAAAAAAGATAACGCCAAAATTCTTTTTCTGAATTGTTCGTTACATCCTCAGAATTATTTGGCTAATTTGGATCGATGCGATCCAGTGAAATCTTATAGGAGTTATCTACCTTTACCAAATAAATTTGTCGGTATGTTTTTGTAACTCATAAACCGTAAGCCGTATAAACTTAGTCCTTTTATTTGAGGTCCTTGGGTCCTAACTTGGAAAATGAGGTCAAAGGCAAAGATCAAGGTCATGTTCTAAATTTTGACATTCACTTCATATCGCTTCTACTCAGAAAGATTGACAGATATCAACAAAAACGATTTGACCAAAATGTTAGTCGCGACATGATAGACCTGGAAAGTTTTTGTCGAAATGGTATGCGTCATTTTTTTTGGGGGGAGGGGGGCTCTTTGCCACTGAAATGGTAAAATGAACAAATTAACTAATTATAGCTTCAAACTTTGCAGTCATCATGATGTATACATGCGACTTATCTTAATTAACCAACCAAGGTCCACCAATACCGCCCCCCTCCTTTTTGATTTTCTTTTTGGAGGAATCCCGTTTCCATGAAATGAAAAGCGCCTTCAGTCCTGTATATTTTACTGTAAACATGCAATCCTTCATATGAACAAACTTCTGAAATAAATCCATCCTTCAAAAATCTGCTCCAATTCATGTAATTAATCGATAAACGTTTTGTTAAAGTACTATAACAACAGCGTTATTTTTGTTTGCACTCAATGAATGAAGACTCATGATCAGCGATAAGAAATCAGTTTACCTGTAAAATGAATCAAGAAAATATATTCCCGTTAACACTATAAATACACGTGCGGTCCGCTTGACGACCTGACCTGGATTGAGAAATTAAAACCAATGACTTAGAAATCGCTCCCAAGTTTGCAAATATTAGTGAAATCCTACAATCAAATTTCGAAACATGCATATACATACAAATCTGTGCACCCGTAAATATGTGTACGAAAAAAGTATGCATGATCAGACATCAATTACGTGAAAAAAAAATAAAATTAATAGTTATCGTGTTACTCTTATCAATACACATGTGTTTAACAGTATTCGAGCTTCACGTGACTTCACAAACACCACCGTGCGCGCGGACCTAAATTTAGAATAAAACATTCCATATCTAAATATAGAAAGTGAAACTTCCTAGACAAAATGTTACTCAGTTTACCTAAAAATTCAAACAAAATGCACAATCAACAAATAAATAAAACATGGAGTCCGCGGTTGCGTAGAAAATAGAGAAAATTTATAAAAGGAGGATGCTAGCATAAATTTTCATTAGGACATCCAAGGCGTCCACTTGGCTGTGCGAGATAGATACTTACGGAGCCACGTTAGGTCGGTTCCATATGTTTAATACGGAGTCCAAGATCTCATTTGTTTCTCTTTCGCTTGTTCCAAGAGACCCTATTCCATGTTTAATTTGTTGATCAGTCAACCAATTAATCAATCAATTAATCAATCAATCAATCAATCAACCAATCAATTATGTTTCGGAGGGGAAAGACCGTTAACAATTGATTTATATTTTTTACTGTTTTCAGTTTCAGACTGTTTAAAACGTTGAAAGATAAATAAACAACACGAAATGATTGTAACAGGATGCTGTTACGAAGTCTCCCAAACGAAGCTCCCATAATTCGTAATTCCCAGGGTCGCCTGACATTGGACAAAGTCCAGTGAAAATTGGTTTGGTCCAGTAAAGTTATATGCATTAGCCTGGGGACTAACCCTGTATATCATTCAAATCATCTTGGCATGACAAACCAGAATATATATGGTTTAGGGGTGGGGATCTCGACCATTTACAAGATACTAGATCATTGGGGGTGGGGGGAACCCCTGGGACTGACCGTATACGTCATTCAAATGTTCTAGACATGATGAACAGGAATATATATGGTTTAGGGGTGGGGATCTCGACCATTTACAAATGGCAGGGGGTCGGGATGACCCCTGGGGACTAACCCTGTATATCATTCAAACCATCTTGGTATGACAAACCAGAATATATATGGTTTAGGGGTGGGGATCTTGACCACTTACAAGATATGAGAACTTTCTTAAATGACAGGGGGTGGGGGTGACCCCTGGGGACTAACCCTGTATATCATTCAAACCATCTTCAAATGACAAACTTCGTTTGGGAGACTTAAAAATACTAAAATTGACTGCTGTGTATGTCAGTTGGCGGTTACAAAACGCATAAGATTGTTATGATCGACGTTATTGATGTTCCAATTGGGGTAAAAGGTATTATATAACTCGGCTGTTTCCAAATATATACTCTTATCCCTGTGTAGTTATCTAATCTGAAAACTCAAAACATTTGTTATCCGTAATTTAATAGTAAATACTAAATACAGTAACGATTATTCATTTTAAGTAAGCCTGAAATTTGTGCAGTTGTTTCATTGATAAATATATTTTCAATAAAAAGTTTAGAACTTTTGTGATGACAAGAAATATCATTAAATGTGTTATTCTTTTTTAAATGAACTGTTTATAAAATCACTAATTATTAAAAACATTAAGGTGTGTCTACCCTCAGGCGTGGATTGCCTTTGACATATTGGTGTCTTTCAAATTGTTCCACTTTTTAAGATGGCACAATAGGGAAGATGTTTGTGGGACCATTGAGAGTTTTAAATGTTTGACAATCTGGAATTGTTTTGATAATTATAGTTGTATTTTTTTTTAAAGTGAAGCCGATAATTTTAGGTAATTGATCAATTTAGCTTTTAAAATATGAAATTAACATGAACAAAAAAAGGTATTTACATATTTTATTTTGCACATATAAGGTCCAATTGAATTATCATAAAACATATTATTCAAAAATATATTAAGCAATACTCAATTATACATAAACATGAATAAAGATTTACAATAAAGCACATATATTTAGATGTGGATCCACGAGTTTTGACAAAGGGGGCCTCAAATAAGGCAACGTTAGCAGTTTGAAAAAATTAAAGTTTATACTTAACTATATGTGTAGTACCATAAGGGGCCTGATAATTAACAGCATTATACACTAAAGCACACATATGACCTGATTTATAAACCGTAACCATAAAGCACACATATGACCTGATTTATAAACCGTCACCATAAAGCGCACATATGACCTGATTTATAAACCATTACTATAAAGCACACACAATGCAGAAGGTACAACAATATAGCACACATGATACATATGTACAACAATAAAGCACACATAATACAGTTAGTTATTTGCAATTCTTACTAGGCCGCCAAGTTATTTATTTTCAAAATCCTCTCCCCCAAAAAAAATCAAATGGTGTTGTACTTGGGTCATCCTTTTCATGCTATACTGTGCCATCTTTCAAAATGATTCGTCGTCTTTGGTCCCTTGGTTTTGAAATGGATCCATAGTTGCCTGTTGCTTTCAACCCAGTATGTAGTGACGTAGTCAGTAAATGGAGTGGTGTTTGCTGTTGAATCGGAATTTTCCAGGTCTTCGATTTCAAAGAACCAGACGTCTTCCGTCTTCTGCATGTATGCTCTGGCAGAATTCTGGAAAGCAGCTATGGAATCAATGAAGAAAGTTGTTTGGTTCAGATGAATGACGTTTGGTGCCAACTTGCTTCAGATGTGTATAGAACCTTGTGTAGAAGTCCTCTTCTGACTTTACTGGTAAAGTGAAGAGACTAGTGGAAATATGTCTCGAGCGACCAGCGTGTGTAGAGTTAAAATTGCATGCATAAGGTTGAAATTTATTTAGAAACTTTAAAATTTTTTAAAATGTAGTTTAACCATAATGGTATTGATATTTGTTTTATATATGAAAGAAACATTATAAATATATTTTATAACTCAGAAATGATATATTATTTAAA